CAACCGAATTATCTCGGAAACAGTAAGTTGAAGAACAACTCAAATTCTTTCAAATTATGAAAAAAAAATTAATAGAGTAAATTTTTTAATAATTGGTCAGTTTATGAAAAATTTGACATTATTTTTATTTTTTTTTTATCACTTTTTTTCACAATAACTTTTTAAGGAATACAGCCTTCCACTGTATATTTATTTTTTTAAGTTCGGTTAATAATTATGGAAATTCTGCCCATTTATGTCGATACATCTTTCAAATTATCAGTAAGGTTTGGATTAAGCATTGAAAAAGTAAACCACACTTTTTTCAATACTTAGAACTTTTGAATTTTCCGATAATTTTTTAAGCAAAAAATTATTAGTTTAAGAGTTTTACATACTCTTTTAAAAAAATTTTTTAGATTGTGGATTTTCCAATTGATTTTCAACTCATGAAAATATATTTAAACAATCCTTACTTTAATTTATACAGGAATTCACAATACTTTAATATTCTTCTATAAACTAATAAGCAAAACGCTTCAGTAAACCTTAATCTATCCTAAATTATACCCTATATCATGAAAATATGAATACAGAAACTATAGTTTTTAAAATATTATTAAAATTAGCTTTAAGAGTTATATGGCAGCCAACCGAAACCCTTAATCCATTCCACAAAAATATCTGGAACACTTTTCCTACATCTAGTTTTATTATTTGATCAAATATTTAAAATTGGTTTTAAGTATTATATGACAGGGCTACCTAAACCAAATAGTTCGAAAAATTTCGTGTTATCATTTCCTAAAGTTTGAAATACATATTTCAGATAATCTTTTTAAGTTTATGGCAGCAATCCGAACCCGTTGTTCAAATTACATAATCCAATTACAATAATAGTCGTACTTGGCAGAAAAGAAACAATTTCTAAGAAAATTGTTTGGTATTCAATTTTTCTTTCACATTCTTTAAATAATCATGCCATTGTTGGACATATTTAAGTCAACGCTGAATTTTACGCTGAACGAGAATATTAAAGTTTATATTACAAACGACTCATGCAGGTGGTTACCGACAAAATACTAAAGTTAGTGTACTCTGTAGGGTATGAAAATTATTGACGAATAACAAAAAATTCTATTTAGTCATGCAAAACAAAAAATTAATTTTTTTAAAGAACTCTTGACAATGTACGTGACTTTCAAAGGTTCTTAGTTTCTTTTTTATACTTTCCTTATTAGAGTAAATATAACGTAAATACCTACCACTTTTATATGACAATTTTTTGAACATAATTAAAATTGATACATGGAGTATGCCAAAATAATATTATAGTTTATGAAATTATTTAATTTCTTATCACATACTTACATTGAAAACGAAAAAGAAAATCTATATTTATTGTCCCTTATTTTTATTAATATAACATGCCTATAGTAAGAATAAAGAATTTAACTAAAGCAACGCAAATTGCTAAACAAATTTTCCTATAATTTTAAGAAAAAATTGCATATAATACGCGTCACAAAGTACTTATGTAGTTATATACATAATATGTACATATATGTATTCAAATAAACCAGAACACGGACTATTAAAGACCGTTTTTAGAATTGTCGATTTAAAGAATCATTCTAGAAATGAAACAACTTTCTAATTTCTACTTCCTTTACATAAGTAATGTAGTTTTGCTTAAGTATAACCATTTAGAATAAAAAATGATAATTTTGTACTCACATATATAATGATTGCATGTGAAGTTACAGATGACACATACTCGTACATATAGATAAATATACATATACATATATACAATTTTATCTCATGTTCACTTTCTGTTATTTGAAGTGTACTTGAAAATCATTTTAACAATACATTTTCTCAAGTACTTAATTTTTTTTTTATGTATTTTATATGCTCCATACATAATTTAATTCAAACTTTTACTTACGGTTTCGAAAATACATTTATAAAAATTTTTGAGGAGATTTTTACCTTAAGAAAAAATTTGGGCACAATGCTATAAAATAAAGAATTTGTTTAACACTTGGAATCATACATTATGTAATCTCGATTTTGTGATGAAAAGTTTAACATCCTTGACGGGTGCAAAAATTCTACATAAGAGTCTTCTTGATAAATGTGTTACTTTTTCTTATATGGTACATACTGCTTATTGGGAAGTTTCATTTTTACTTAAAATAATATAAAATATTTGAAAATACATGAGATTTTAAAATTTAAAAAAAATTTTTTAGTAAAATAAAGAAATATAAACATGCAAAACATATTAAAAGTTTGAAACTTTTAAAAAATTGAAATAGGAAAAGAAAAGATGTTTAATAGTCAACAAAAAACTTTAGTTATATTTGTAAAACTTTTTTGAGCATTCTGAACAGTAACTAGGTTACCCATTACAAGAACATTAGAAATAAAAATATTAGAATAAAATTTTGCAGTTTTTACATTCTTTCTTACATTCCACGAAATAAATCATATTCTGCAGAAGTTTAAACGCTTTTCCCTGCAACAGAATTTAAATCAAGAGTATTTTTTAAATTAAAACCACAAGTTCTAAAATAATTCTTAAAAATCTTTCCACATATGCTTGCAAATGTGGAGAAAAATTTCACAAATTTGTAAAATACTAGAGTAGTTCTTCAATATTATGTATAACATTTTTCTATTATGCTCTTCTTTTAATTTATAATATCTTTGCTATGTATTAATAAAAAAAACTTCAAAATTTCTTTAGAGCTTTAAGAACAATTGTCATTTTGGAATATGCTGTTTTTGCAGATTTTGCTGATTTATCAAACATGCTTTATATTAAGACTTAAGTAAGAACTGATTTATCGAAAATGCATCAAATATTAGATTTCCTATGAAAAAACTAAGATTGAATAACTTTAGAAATAAAACAAATAAACAATTTAATCATAATTTTATACGCCAGAAACAAAGAGATATTGTATAGATGAATAATAAAAGGATCAGTTTGCTTTCATATTAAATAATGAGACCAAGTTCCAACTGATTTTTTTTTTATTAGTTTTTTGTTTTAAATACCCATTCTAATTTTTAATTTTATTTTAGCTATGAAAAAACGAAAAGACGCATTTTTGTGGTCATCGAAATTAAAAAGAAAAGCACTTCTCTTTTTAGAGAAATCTTTTTTTTTACAATGTCTGTATTTGACAATATTCTTCATTTGTGTAAAATGAACAAAAAAAACGTTTTGTATTATTCCGAATCTGAAATCTAAATAAAAGTTATTTGTTAAATAAAAAAGGTTTCTTTCACATATTTTACTTTTCGTTGAACGGACGGAATTTAAAATGTTGGTTGTTGTCTTTAAGATATCAACACTTGGATGCAGATACGGTACTTTTTTTTAATTCGAATACATATAATAATAAAAATAACATAAATGAATTAAAGAAAAGCAAACAAATTCTTTATCCTTCTAAAAAAATATTTTAAAAATTAAAACCTTAAAAAAAACTGGTAAGAAATACTTAAATCTGTTTACTTTTAATAATTGATAGTTAATGGACATTTTTTCTAAGCAATTTGTTTGTATTCTAGTACCAGGCTACATTAAATCCGATTCTTGATTTCTTTTTGCAATCACCCTAAATTTTTTGCATCATGTATTATTATATCCAAAATTTTTTTTTGGCTTATTATCCCTTACTCCATCTTTATTGGTTGCACACCAAAATTCTTTAATAATTTTTTGTAATATAATGTCCGTCTACCTAAGAAAGATGGCATCTACTTTGTATATTTTTGATTATTTAATATTGTTTAATTTTCTTTTTATTTCAGTTATTTAATAAATATATCAAGGACGCTATTTTATGTTATAAAAAAAATGTTAAGTACGATGTATACATATATTATATTATATAAATGTATATTCAGTATTCTAATATGCAGTGGCTACTTTTACTAAGTATAAATGAATATATTTAGAGTCTAAAAATAAATCATATCAAAATACTTTATTAGAGCCAGCGTGAGATTTACGCAATTAGAATGAATTATGGGTGACAAGAATGTTAAAAGAAATAATGTGAGTTAATAAGCGAAAATCCCCTTTTTATTTCTTTAATTTCCGTAAAAATTGTTGATTCTAAAAGCCAAAAGGAATGAAATGGAAAATGAATATTAAAACTTTTACTTAGTTTTTACCATAATTTTTTTTATATCCTTGTATTTGTTTTATGTAGAAAGATCTTAATGGTCAATATATTATAATTCTTTATTTTGGTTTTCTTCTTAAAAATCATTTCCAAAAGGATGATGTTGACATGTAATAGAAGTAGTGTTTCTAATTAAATATAATTCGTTGATAAATTAAAATATAAAAGAAAATGAAGAAAGAAATTAATCGTCTTAGTTCTTTTATAACTAAATTAAATATTAAGTAGATTAAAAGATTTTCTTTTATCTTTAATAAGAAATTTTACTATACGTATTTTTTTTTTTACGAAAAAAATACTTGATATGCAATTCTTAGATTTTAAGTTTAAAAAAATCATAAAACCTTCCATTAAAATTAAAAAACTTTTAGAAAAACACTTAAATTCTTCCAATATTTTTGATCAAACCTTAATCACAAGTAACTCATATATAAGTTGTTTGTGCATTACTTCACAATATTTTTTATGTGTTTTAATTTCCATATTCGCCGGCATCCTTTAGTTTTTTCTTAGTTATTTACAACATTCAAAAAATAGTTATTTTAAATTAATTTAATATTTGAGTTTATTTGTCAACTTTTATTTTTTTATAAAAGATTCTTTCAATAAAAAATAATGCAATACTAAAATAAAGCAAATACATATGTACTTAATTATTGCAACCTTAGTTTTTAAAAATATCTATGTAATAAAAAATATATTTAAATTTTTTGTTCACATAATTAACAAAAAAAAAAAATAAACATCAAATTAATATCTACAATTTCTTAAAAATATATAACAATTAAATTTTGAACTAGATTGTATGTGAAATTTATTTCTTAATAACAAAACTAAATCACAAAAAATGAAACTAAATAAATAGTTGGCAAATTTTGAATTTTAGTACAAATTAAATTTTGAACATTTTATTAAAATTAATCTGCTATTGCATATTTTAAAAAAATGCTTTCTTAGTGTTATTATTTTGTGCAAAAATATTATTAATGAATTTTGTTATTTAAATCTAAGTTTTATTGACCTTTTATCTTCCGTTTCTTTCTTCTTTTAGTTATTCGTTGTAATATTATTAAAATCGTTTTTTTCACTTGCTACTATTACCGAATTCGTATCACTTTTAATATCAAAACTACTATTACTATCTGTACTTTCCAAACTATTTCTATTCAAACCAACTGGTTCATTTTTAATATTTGATGAAACTACTTCAATATCATAGCGGTTATTAAATAATAATTCACAAGATAATACGGCGCTATTATCCTTAATACTTCCGTTCTCATTATTTTCTTTGTCTGTGATTTTATCGCCTTCGTGATCACAATCAGTATCATCTATATATTTATCACCATCTTCGACGGACTTAATTTCTTCTACTGATTCATAAAGCGTGGTATTATCATCTATATTAACTTTTTCACAAATATCATTTACACATTCAACATTGTCGACTGAAGTTATAGCACGATTATTTGTTGGTACTTTATAAATAGGATCGACAAAACTAACTTGAAAACAAAGGTTTTTCATTAAATCTTTAGCTGACCTTATATTAAATTCTGGATCATTCAGTTGTTGTTGTCGTATTAAGTCGTCGACGTCGTGAAATATTGAACGCGGTTTACATGATGGTTTATCCTCAGATAAAGAAAATTTCAATGGTGATTTATTTTTAGATTTTCGTAAGCTCCTCATTCCATCTATAATAAAATTCTTTTTTGGAGAAGTTTTGGAAAATCTTAAACTGGCAAATATCGAATTATCGCGTGGACTATTTTTTTCTGAATCATTTTTGTCTTCCCCTAGTTCACAATCTATTTGATTATTTGACGAATTACCTGATGATGAAGATGGTGTTGGACTTCTTTCAAATAAACCACCAACACGCTTTAGAGCATCGTCACCTGGATGTGAAAAATATCGAAGCGGAGTTTTTGAAGAAGTTTTTTCTGGAAGCTCTGGTAGTGTTTCGACATTTAAAGATTTTGTTTGAGAACGCTTTTTTTCTGATTTTGGCATTGTGGAAAATGCTGGCAAAGGCGGTTTCGTTTTGGGAGGTACTGGAAATCTAAGATTGACTGGTAGACCGTCAGAAAAAGCAGAATAATGTTGCACTAAATGTTCTAGTGATAAGAAATAAGGTCCCTCATCTAAATAAAAATGCTGTATGGATTCGGAAATAATAAAATGTTTTACTTGGTTGTCTGACCACAAACTTAGAGCATATCCTGATCTCGCAGATTGTCTTATTAAAAACACCCCTTCGGTTGAATATTTTAATGGATCATCATTGTTCGTAGAATGTAACGATTCGGCTAAATTTTCCTTTTCATTTTCTTCATTGATAGATTCAATATTAGCATATATTTGATTTTTATCACTTTTTTTTATTTTCTTTTTTTTCATTAATTTTTCTCTTAAATTATTTTCATACTCCTGAACTAGTTTATTAGCTTCCTGTCTATCCAAAGTTCCATGATACCAATGTATTCTTTTAGTTTTAGCTGGTTCTACTGAGTATCTCTTTAAATATTCAGCGATTTCAAAGTGACCGGCTTCAATCGCTAAATCTAATGGAAATTGTACTAATTTCGTTCTTGGCATAGTTGTTGCACCAGCTTTTAAAAGCATCTGAATTGCTTTCATGTTACCAAATTTCGCAGCATCATGTAGTGGCACACAACCAGTTTCTGGATTCCTCATATGAATTGTATTTACATTTGAATCTATTAAAGCTTTGATAAATCCTGATGATTTAGTTCGACATGCATACTAAGAAAATTCAAATAAAGCAAGTAAAATTAATTTTATAATAAATTTTAATTGAAAATTCATATATATTATATGAATTTAATAATATATAAATTCTATTTGTACTAAAAAGAAAACATGCATGTATATTAACGCGAAAAACAGTTCCCACAATCGAATAGAATAAAATACAATGCTTTCGCAATAAAAAAAGTTTTGCAACTGAATAATAAAAAAACTAATGAGTAACGATTTTTTAATACATAAAAAATTGTTTATGTATTTATAAGTAATGAAAACTACAACAAAAAACACAATTATTGCAAATGTATATTATGATAAGAAATCGGTTAAATAAAGAGAATAAATATATTAAAGTTTTCATATTTTTTAGATAAAACGCAAAATTTATGTTGTGCTCTCCAGTATAAAGTTCGCAAAACAAAGAAGGAAAACAATAATTCTGGAATAGAAAAAATTACTAAAATATGATTAAATATAACTCACATGTAATGGTGTATTTCCTGAAGCATCTTTACATTCAATTTTGGCACCAGCTTTTAATATACATTTGAAAATTTTCTCATTGCACTCATACAAACAAGCTAAATGAACCGCTGTTAAATCATCTTGATCACGAGCATTAATATTACGTTCTTCTTCCTTTAACAATTCCAAAATACGTTTTTCATCGTTTTCAACTATGGCTTTATGTAATAAATTTGTACGACCATGGCACAAAATATCTTTTGGCGGCAATTCACCCTTTATTGGTTCCCGTAAATGAGTAATTATTGCGTTTTTGGTAATATTTTTGGAGTCAGAATAATAATCAACAATTGTATCGACTCCGTGAAATATTTTTGCTCCATTTATTGAATAAAATGGATCTTCATTATTTTGATTTTTATGTATTTGATAATGTGAAACTTCATTCTGCGAATTAAATTTTAATTAAATTTAATAAATTATATAAAATGCAAATAAGAAGTAAAAAAAGTTTAGAATGTTTTTACCTCATATAAAACAGAAAGAATTAAATCACCATTCTGCAATGAATTTGGCATTATCAAAAAAGATCCGTTTTCCGAATCATCTGTAAGAATACATAATTATTTATTTTTTTTTTCAATTAATTTTAAAAAACAATTAAAAGTAAGTTTTATTAGTCGTATTGGTAAAATTACACAAAATGCTGAATTTTCATAGTGCTTCTTTATTACCTTGAACTAAATTTGTTAACCGAATTAAAAATTAAGTAATGTGATATGTTACGTATAATTATTATGCATTCATAATAATATTGAATTTATAAAAATTTATTTTAAAACTGTAGTAAGAAGATACTACTACAAAATTTTAATTCAAATGATTCATAAATTTTGATTTTTCAAATTTAATAATGCACAATATTATACTTTTATAATTTTTAGAATACAGAAAATTTATATTTCAATTGTAGAAATATTTCCCATATATTGTATTCAGTAAGGGCATTAAAGTTTTATAAGTAAATAGATTTGAAATTAATTTAAAAATTAAAAATTCTTGATATCTGTGAAATTTTTGCAATAAAACTTTCTATATTTACTTGAATTTTTAATTTTATATTACTAATTTACATATGTGTTTAATTTTATATAATTAAATAAAATGCTTTGTTTAAGTAATCATGACAAGCTCTTTGTTTTAATAGTAATACAAAATTCAATATGCGTTAATAATTTCAATTTTAGGCCCGATGAGTGTGACTAAATTCGAAATGTGATTAAAAATGAAATTTGATAACTAACAATATTTTTCATGTTTTCGTTAAGGTTTTAAAAATGTCTTCTTTCCCATTTTTGAAAACATTAATTTAAGTTAAAATCACTCAGGAAAATTTATTTAAATATTGAAAAAAAATCTGCAAATCAATTCCTTTGATTATTAAAACATAATAATGTTTAATAAATATTTACCTGATTTTAAAAGTTTTTCAGCCTCTTCCTGTAATGATATATTATGATACCAATTTGATTTTTCATTGTAATATTTAATCATGGTACATGTTACTATATTTCACCCCTGAAAACATAATATAAAAAAATTATTTTATTCTAATTTTATTTAAATATTATATTTTAATTTGTTTCATTAAATATTAATAAATATTTAAAGAAACTATAAAAATAAGCGTTTATAACATTTTCGTACATTAATACTATCATAATATATAAAATACTCAAATGAAATAATTATAAAAAAATGAATAATATGTGAGTGATTGCAGTATTTCCAGCTAAAAAATTAATTATTAAGTGCAGTATTTCCAGCTAAAAAATCTTAATTTTGAAAGGAATAGAATGTTTTACTTTTCTTGTATATTCAATATATGGTCAAACCTCAACTTATATATCTATTATGCATGTCTATCTATATAATCGCTTGCTCTTTATATTTTTTCTATCATTTTAGGAAATTTCCACTAATTTATTTACAGCTCAATGTGAATTGAAACTAATGATATGGTTCCGGTATTTTTTTTTCTCATCACATCTTATCTATTCTAAAAGCAAACTATGGAACTTTTCTACTTTCTTTTCAATATAATTGATACTTTGCAGTTACAAACCCCTTGTAGTTTTCTGAAATATTAGAACGGTATGTATAAATTTTAAAATGAAATACTATTCTTTTTATTCATGTTTTTTATTAATTAATATATTTATGTATTTTTGTCGCATTTTTGTTTTGAACTATTTTTAATTTTGGAATTGTTTTATTTTTATAATTTGAACTTCCGCAGATACCCAATTAAAATTACAAAACAAGAAAAAAGGAGGGTTTAAAAAAATTCTTTTGCGATTAAAAAATTGCAATTTGCAAATGACTCTTTGTACTAGTATGACCACATTGTATATTTATTCAATAAAATGGTATTATCCTAGTGCTTTTAGTTATACATTTGCTTGTTATATTTTTAAAATTGCTCGTCTCATAAACAGAGCCTTATAAAGTTTTTTAAAGATAAACAAGTCTACAAACACTACCGAAAGGCTACAATTTTTTTTGCAATAAAATACTTCTAGTATTGAATATCAAATAATCTATATTTGAAATAAGTCTGTAGTACGAAAACACTTTTTAAATCAAGAAGGTATGACTTGTACAAACCTATGTTGCTTTTTAAAATATAAATTTGGAATTATAATATACTAAATAATGTAGTACACTCTGTCTGAATGCATAAATTTTTTATACTAGGGTTCAAGATTTTGATAATGAAAGTTTTCAAGTTTTGAAACCAAATAAATATGAGCATTTAATGCAAATACTTGTTACCTTAATAAATAACTCAATATATACATGGTATCTTATAAGATTTACACTAGATAAAGAAATCATAGATGTAACATTAGGGCTAAAATAATAATACAATGCTTTACATTGTAGAATTATAGCAAGTTGATAATTTTATTTTACTAAAATATTGGTAGGTACTGAAATATTTACTTAAAAAAAATTTTTTTTTGAAGTGTGAAGAGGTTTTATAAGTATATAATATGTATATACTCTATAGATGTGGGAATTTAAATTCTAAAGCGAGCCCACATAGTATTTAATTAACAACATAATATTTATTTAATAATTATTTAGTAAGAAAATGAATCAGTTATCAAGCCGGTAAATATAAATAGTTACCTACCTACATATATATTGCACACGAGACATCAAGATAAAAAAACAAAATATTGTGTTAATTTAATATAATACCTAGCTAGGTAGGTACATACATACATAAATGAAACTCGTATAGTAATACAAACTACAAAATTTTTTAATTCAAAAAATGTAAACTATTAGTCATTTTATTTTTAGCTTTTTAATGTCATCATTATTTGCTTTTTCTAAATTAATTTCATTCAAAAATTGACATTATAACACATTTAGAATAGCTATACGATTTAAGTTTTATACGTAATAATAATTTGCCCAAACACATTTTACATAATGTTATTATGTTTGTTTACCAATATAGAGTAACGTTTATATACGATAATCTTATGTACATACCTATATGAGAATGCTGTAGTATGTTAAAAACAATATTACTTTATATACATACAGATATTACTATATAATAACAATTTAATAATATAGATTAAAATGAATATGAAACAAAACACAATATAAATTTTTAATACATAATCAATTAAACATATGCTTACTTCCTATTCAGCTTTTATACATACATAAGTTATTTGAATTAAAAAATATATTGAATAAATAATTGTTAGTGGACTAATAAAAAAATTCATGAATTTTAATTATAATTTAATTATTTTTGAGTTTAAGTTCGATAACAGGAATTTTTTCTTACGATAATGTTAGTTAATGATTCATTATCCATTCTTCTCGATTTTATGTCTTTCTTTACAAATCTTTTGCAATATACATATAATTATTATAATTGATAGTAGATACCTATGTATATACATGTACTCAAAACAATTTTTTTTTTTCAAAAATACAAGTACGTACGTATGTACATATATTATTCGTACTTTCACACAAACTACAAAATCTTTCCGAATTTCTAAATAAAAATTGATGTAAAATAAACAAAGTCAAAAGCAATGACTAATAAGAATAGTTTGATTATTTTAAATAAAGCGGTTTTATATAATATGAATGAATATATGTATGTATGTATGTACATAATATTGGTTTTTTGTTACAAATTAGTGTGTGCTTAACTAAACCAATATTTTAGTCTAGAATTAAAAGCGACCTTGAAGCTTTGCAAATTTCCTTTTTCCATTCATCTTAAACTCCAATGGTGAAGTTTATGATGAATGGATTTAGTTCAGAAATTTATTTTATTATAATTTATCTCGCTAATGAAAACTATGATATCTACAACTCAAATACTATTTTATGGAAATATAAATTTGATATCTTACTTACCCTTATACCAATAAGAATATGTTAGTTACAATTTTTTGCAGAAATGCAAAATAATAAACTCGATTTTATAAAAATTAAATTTTACAATTTAAAAATTAAATATTTATTTTTTTAAAATTATGATAACACAATCAAAATATTTAAATATATTTTCAGTTTTTGCAAATTTTGTTTATTATAAGAGTAAAAATTAATCACAAACACTTAAAAATGTTTAATGGAAATATATTTTAATTACTAAATTCCGAGATGTCAAAAGAGTAATCAGCTGTCGATCGTCAAAAATATCCCAATAAACATTTTGACAGATAATTGAAGTAGAAATTGATCCTCATATTATATTTTATTGTACGGCATTGCATTTATTTGACCATGGTGACTGGTAAGTAAGACAAGTTATTAAAAATTTTTGATAAGAAAAACTACATAAACTCTTCGTTGAATTTATAATAAGCTAAACTACATAAATTTTTCATCAGAACTACCAAAATAGGGTAAAAAAAATTTTTGTGCAATTTTGTGGCTTCTTTTACTAACACTCTTATGAAATTTTTAAATGAACACGATGTTTTGACGTTAATAACATAGCTAACTTAACATGGAATACAATAAAAATATATTGCGTTTCAAATAAAAATATTACTTTAGTTTATATTATATTACTGAAAAATAAAATTAATTTGAATTGATGATAAAACCATGAAAACATAATAATATAAAGCATTCTTTCATTTTTATATTCTGTAATATTATAGAAAATACGTTTGTATTTTAAGCTAGTCAGTAAACATAGTAAAGAAGCATAAGCAAATATTCAATAATCAGTAATCATTATAAAGTAAGGTAAATATATGCAACACGTAGATACTAATATTCGAAGAAATTCCTAAATCTTATACAATTATAAATTAAACTAGTTCTTTTTTTGACGATTTGGTAAAATATCTAAGTAATTATAAATTTAGGACTATTTATATATTTGTAATACCATATAATAAACAGTTTTTTTTATATTTTGCCGACACTTTTTATCTTTATTTTTGTTTATACCTTTTTTTTAGAAAATGTAGCACTAAAAATCCTTTTTGTTACCTTACGGTTACTTATATTTAAAAAATTTGTATACTAAACACTATCAAAACTTATTTTGAATATATATATACTATCTATAGTATAATTTATAAAATTATAATATATTTTCAAAAAATTTTAAATTATTTTTATGTTAAAAAATTTATTATTTTATGCGCCCATTTACATGAATATATAAATTTGTTTACTGACATTTTTCTACACCAACAATATTATGTACCTAATTCATTTATCAAATGCGCATGTTCTATTTTACGACGTAATGGTATAGATATGTCAAATATTTACAATGAAATATTAAAATTTTTATCGATTATAATTTAGTTGAGTTTAATAGTTTCACTTTAATGCTTTTTTTTTGTGCACGTTGGAAAAGTAAATTTTTTTTTATATTGGTTTTAAAAAAAAAAAAATAATGTAATACTTTAACAATATCTTTAACGAAATACAACATTAGTCAGTTTTTGTGAACACAGTTAATTTATTATTGAAAACTATTATTTTGTGTAAATTTAAAATTTTATTTTAAGAATATTGTATAGCAGAAAATGCATTGAATAAGTGTGAAAGCACTGGTTATTTAGTTCAAAAGATCACATGTGTTTGTTGGGTTATATATGTTTTTCAAAGCATATGGAGTTTAAATGGATTTCAAAGCATAATATAAATATTTTGACATGACCTTTTGTTTACCTTTACTTTATTTACATTTTCGTTCCTGTTCAATTATTCATAACATAATAATTATGCACATACTTCCACTACTGCAATTTATGTATTTTATAAGATTCACTTAAAGTTAAACTTTCACTTATATTACAATGTTTAACATTACTGTGTCGTGTCCAGGGAAAGTGATTCTTCACGGAGAGCACTCTGTGGTGTATAAGAAACCCGCACTAGCTGCAGCTATCGGAATTCGTGCCAAAGCCTCTTTAGAAATCAACGAGACCAATGAAATTAATTTAAATTATAGTAACATTGATTTGAATTTTACTTTGCAATTATGTGAATTTCAGAAATTTTACAGCGAAGTTTCAAAGGGCCATAATGTTACCGAAGAGGAAATTTTATATGCAGTAAAATGCTTTGTGGAAGTTCATACCAAGGATAGAAAGTTGGAGTTTCAAAAAGCAAATTCAATAGTTGCAACATTTTTCTTATTAACTTCTATTTTATTAGACAGAAAATTGGATGAACTCGAATTCGGTTTTGATATAGAAATAAAATCCGACATAAAAATTGGAGCTGGTTTGGGAAGTTCTGCATCTTTTGGTGTTTGCTTATCTGCCTGTCTTCTAAAATTTATCAAATTTTTAAGTAAATCAGAAGATTTGATAGATATTCATTCAGAAGCTAGTCGATATGCGTTTTTATCGGAGAAAGTTATGCATGGTAAACCGTCTGGAGTTGACAACACGGTATGTGCATTTGGGAATATAATTAAGTTTTCGCCTGGTGAAGGAACAGAAGTAATAAATATGAAGGAAAAATTACCCATATTACTAATTGATACCAATGTGAGCCGTAGTACGGCGAAATTGGTACAACAAGTAAGTGAATTAAAACAAGATTTGCCAAATGTTATTGATCACATTTTGTGCGCTATGGGAGAAATAGTTAAAGCAGCCGTTCCCATTTATGAAAACTATACAGCCACAGATTATGAAAAATTTAATTGTATTGAAAGATTTGTTACAATTAACAATAACCTATTGCGAGCAATAGGGGTTTCACATAAAAGTTTGGAAGAAATTTTTGAAATTGCATCTCAACACGGCTTTAGTTGCAAATTAACAGGCGCAGGTGGAGGTGGTTTTGCTATAATTGTTTTGCCACATGATTATAAAGCAAGCGAAAATTTTAAATTACTTTGCCAAACATTAAATGAAAAACAGTATGGTTATATAGAAACTGTTGTTGGTGATAATGGAATAAAATTTGAAAGTAATATTTAAATTATGTAGTAACTATAAATGTATTGACTAGGAACTGAAGTTTTAGAAAATAAATTAAGAGTATAAAAGAAATATAAGTATAGTCACATTTAATAATTAATAAAAAAAAGTGTAGTTCATAAAAGGTAATAATAAATTATCTACAAGAATGTGTTTCATAAAAAGTAATAAAATTATCAAAAACCATTTATAATTTATTTTCTAGATTTTTATTAAATTTATTGGAGCAATTATTAGGAATGTACAGGTAGAATCGCCCTCAAACAAGGTAGAAAAAAGTTTAAGGGCGATGGAAATTAAATGAGTTTTGCCAATTTTAAAATTTAATAAAGTACTTATAACTAAAACTACATTTTCTTATTGAGTTACCTTTGTGTAAGCGACAAAACTTACTGAAGTCGTCTTGGAATTATTAAATATAAATCGACTTTTAAACTCATTTAACAAAATTTATTTAAAGACTAGTAATGTGCTAACATAGTAGACGTGTACTCAAAAAGTTATATTCTTTTACTAAAAAGAAATTTTTTCTTGTTTAGTTAAAGCCAACATGTAAGCTTTGTTCTCATATAAAAAGATAAAATCGCACACATATACACTTATTTTATTAAATTTGAAATTTTTTATCCTCGAAGTTTTACACTTAATTTAATTTCAATTTTGTTTCAATTTCTACTCTTCAAATTTTTCTACTGATTTAACAAAAATAAAATTAATATTTAATATCCGTTTAAAAACGCGGATTTTTTTTTTCGCGGGTAACTTTCATTCGTTTCTGTAATATTTTAATAAAAAGTACAAAGAAAGGGATTGTACTTCCTATAGTAAAGAATTTTGTTTAATTTTTGCGAACGCATGCAATTTTTAACATGACTGAGTAACAAATTGCTCAACTTATCATAATGATAAAATTAAAAAAATCTATATTTATTACATATTTTAAATTTATTTTTTAATACAACGTAAAAACATCTGTATGTTTTTCACATTTTCATACAATAATATGTATGAAAATGTGAAATATAATGTTTTTTCACATTTTCACAGATACATAATATTATCGTTTATTACTAAATGTAATACCTTCCTTGATTTTGAAATATAAAATACTTACATACTTAATTGAATTGAGGGCTGAATAAATTTTCTTCAAGGATGGTTTTATTGGAAAATTCTTGGAATATTACAATTTAAAAATTTGCAAAAGATATTATTTATTCAATTGTTATTTCAAACCTTATTAAGTCTTATTAAGAGTTATCAAACAAAATTATAAATCGAGTTGGAGTCGTTTATTTGAATTATATGAGCAAAATGAGTAGATATAAATCTAACAAAATTTTATAAAGTTGAAAAAAATCAAAACAGTACCAAACAGTAAAATTATTAATTCGTATTATACACCTTTGAGAAATACACTGAATGTATACACGCATATGTACATAAATACTTTATCGGTAAAATAAATTAAAAGTAGAATTAATAAATTTAAAAGTATAATAATACATATTGTAAATATGTATGTATGTATGTATGTACATTAAATTTACATAAACAATTATAAAACTTTATTTTGTTTTAAAATTATTTTACTTAGTTTAGAAGTTATTCAGTCGTTACAATGAAATATTGGATTAATAAAACACTATAAATATACATATACACAAACGTGATGTGATTCATTTATGTATACAATGTATGTACTTAGTGTAAATTTTATATAGAAAGCTTTATATAAAATAAATACTTTCGCAACGTTATTACATCTTTGCACAAGTAAGTAGATAAAACAACTGATTAAGGAAAAGGGTTAATTAAATAAACAGAAAGGGATGTACAATTAATATCTTTATTAGAATATGGGATAAATTTTAATTTACAACACTTTAAATCAGGTTAAATTGTTTTTCAAAATTTCTTTCTGTTTTAAATTATATATTTCATAATTAACAAGATTCTTGTTGATTTTGTATAAAAAAATTAAAACGATACAATGAATTTCATTAATTTAAAATTTGTTTGATTTTCAATTCACTGCGTTATATATACACTATTTAGTATAATGTCGTATAACGGATAAATGTTACAAATATATAATATGATAAATAATAAATTTTATTTATATATTTTAGTATAGATAAGTTATGTATCCTGTGTTACATCACACATACGAGTATACCGTACATAATATGAGTTATGTGCGATAGGGTTATAATGTGAGTGATGTGCGATTGTGGAAGCGGCGGTCTTTTTTGATTGAATAAAATATTCTCATAACTTTATAGAATTCTCATATATGTATTATGAATTCAAAAGCAACGTTTTGAACGTTTTGACGCATTAAAAAACGCGAAACTAAGTTGCACTTAGAACGGGAAAATTGTTGTTATGACAACTAAAAACAGTTACTGGGAAAATTGTAGAAACTCAAGTTTTTGAGATTTTGTACGGTTATTTTGTTATACATAATATTGTTGTTAAATTTTATTATTGTTGTTAATAATATTGTTGAAATCTAAATTAAAAATGATAACGTGATCCATTACAAAATTTTATGTTTAATGTATTGTTATTTAAAGAAAATAAAACAATTTTCGGCGTAATGGTAGGCTTATTTGCAAGAATGTTCTTACATTAAATCAAATAGTGAGAATCAGATTATATACCCTCTTTTATTAGCAAAGAATAAAGTTAAATAAAAAAAAAACTTTGAAACATAACCTTTTTTTTGATAATAGTACTAATATTTTGACACGATTCCTGCATCTAAATCTCTAACTCCAATTTTCATATGGTAATATATACTTATGAGTGTAGGTATAAATCTTTTATTAGATTATGAGAGTATGTGTGTATGATTATGTACATAGATATAAATTTTTTCAAAACTAAATTTAATTCAAGTTAATATTACTTGTCTCAGAGCAACTGGTCTATAAAAATAATCTGAAATCCTGAGATTAAAAATTAAATCTTTATTTGAGAAGAAAAAATAATATTTAAACAAAAATGGTAATAAGGGGAGAGGTCCTTAAGAGTATAAAAACTGTATTATGTGACCTACTTGTTCACAATACTTCCTTGTTCACAAAACATCTTAATCAAGTTAAATTATTTTGTTCTACAATCTAGATTGATTTTTTTTAAAGATGTCTAATACTCTTCTTGAACAAATAGTTAATATTATTATGTGTGTAAATATATACATATGTGTATGTATATCATATATTCAAAAATGTAAAAAGAAATTTTTTTTGTTGCCTTAGTTATTCATTTACAAATTTATTTTATTTATACTTAAATTTTGTACAGTATGATAATGAACATTATGCCTGTTCTAATTCATTAAGAAATACTTTGTTTTTAGAAGATAAATTAAATTGGTATAGATACAGTTACAGTTACTAATTGCATAAATTCTGTTAAATTATATTAAAATTTAATTGAAAATAATATTCAAGTGAAACGGCATAATTTAAACAATATTCTATATTTGAAAAGAATAGTTAAATTTTAATAAATAATAATATTATACGATTAATTAATTATATGAAATTTTTACATGCTATTTGAGAAGTCAATTTGAGGAATTATTTGAATTACAATTCTAATTTGAAATTAGCTATAAATTACGTTTAGTATTAAAAAACTAGCATTTTAGTTCAATATAAGGTTCCTTACTGAAATAATTTCGAATAAAAATGAATCTGGAAAATTTTAAGAGTACAAAATGTACAGAAATGTATATCTACGAATAAAATTTAATTAACTGTGAATAAAATTTAATTAATTAAATTTGTAACTTTATTCAAAATTTTTTCTCTCTCTTAAGTTTCATAAATGTATAAGACAAATTAAAATTTTATTTCAATTTCAATATTCACAGTATAATAAGTAGCTACATGCATATACATACATATATATATACATATATATATATTCACAATTACAAAAAAATTTTAATGCAAATGGTAATGCTTAAGTTTCGACATTTATAATTTAATTAAAATTTTAGAAATTAAATTGAAGTTATAACATGATAATGTTATAAAAACCCTTACCCATTTTATTTATTTTAAAATGTTAAATATTTACAAGCATATATATATATATATACATATGTATATGAAAATAAGAAAATGGAAAATCTCTGCGGTATATCAAAATTTCAAAATTATGAACATATATCATTAAATGTTTGATTTAATTTAGTCAAAATTTTAACCAGATTCCAACACTTACCCTTTTATATTCTACTTATTCTTAATTATATATATGTTACATTATATAACCTTATGTACCTACTACTTGTATCTGTTTTTACTATTATTATTATTATTACTATAATAAAAGATTGGGGTTACTACTATAGACAAAAAGTAAACATTTTATTGAAAAAATAAAATTTAAAATGATGTGTCAGTCAGCGAATCACTCAACCCGAAAAGAAGAAAAGTTTTATATAAAATAACCGCAAAAAAACTATATGTACATTATATTTTATGACATTATATACATAAAATAAAAATTGAAAAGTTGGACAAGTTAAATAAAACAATTTCCTTGATCTTTTAATGTTTAAATATTATATTAATTATGGGGATGTAGATAACATGTAGGTATAAATAAAATGTCGTAAAATCAAAAACATAAAATCAAATAAAATAATTTACACATTAAAGAATTAGATGTGCATTAAACACAGTACATCCTCCATAAATCTTAACCTCAATAGTAAGACCACCTTCATAATATGACCAGATTTTAATCGCTCTCGAACAAAGTTACATTTTTCAATAGAAATATATATGCCCTCTTAATGAGACCACCTCCATTTTCCATTTGTCGACCGCTATTTTCTGTCATTTGTATATTAAAATGTATATAGACTATTAAAAAATTATTGGTTTTTTTCAACATTTGAATGACAAATTTCAATGAACATGTTAAATACATATTGTCATAAAAAGGAAGAGAAAAGATTTAGATAATGAAAACAGTTTTCAACTTAACAATTGAAAAGATTTTGTTTTGGTGCGAATTATAGACCAATTTTATAATATGATCATTTTGCTCCTTCTTGGTTCTGGTTGCCTTATGGAGGTTCTACAGTATGTTGTATGTTTAATGTGAATTTTCATAAATGTGTTATACAATTTCGACCATACTTATCTGTACCATATTAAGAAGATATTCTTCTATTTTATTTGCCTATTTAATGAAAAATTTGTCTTAAAATGGTTAAAAGATGAATTAAAACTGTAAATTAAAAAAATGTTAAGGAATCCTATGAATTCAATTGAACTTAAATTTAAAGGG